CCTCGATGACCGCCGTCGCCTCCCCCAGAGGGCCACTGTCCCTCACATCCTATCTATTCCCGAGGCACGCCCTCCTACGAGCTTCCCTATTTCAACTTAGCCCTTCGCTACGCCCGATCCCATACCAGCAAAGCCTATAACGTTAGGTGTTTGGGAGCGGTACCGGGCTACTGCTGCTTCTGCCGTGAAGGTAGCACGAAATACAAAATAGCGATTTTCCACTTTCGAGCCGCTGCCGCCACCGCTATTCCTTCTTCTATGATGGGGGCCATTTGGTCGACGGGGAGAACCTGGACGCGCTATATATCAAACAATAGCATCTTTGCCACCACTGCTGCCGTTCTTACACAAAGCCAATGGCAGCTGCCACTGCTGGCCACCTGCTGTAACACAACAACAAGCGGGTGCAGAGTAAGGCTGGAAACTAGTCAGGACCGTCGAAAACAGGTTTTCTCCTCATTGCACGCCATTTTGACTGCTTTTCTAACGTGCGAAAAACTGCAAGAACGAAAGAGCTGAAAAGAGAAAAGGGGTGACGTATAAACATTGCTGCTACATGCCCGGTGCTCAGTCTAAACGGTAAGAGGACAAAGGGCCCTGAATGACCTAACCAGAACGACCATGAAGCTACTAAGGAACTCACTAAGGAACAAAATAACATCTTATTTATAACCATGCTTATCGTCATCGGTGTCATGATCACCACTAACGGCATAATTTTGGGGCGATTGGAATGACTTTTTTTTTACCTCATAGTATGCTCTGCTCTTTCTTCATTTTTCCACTGGGCCCTTATGGAGTAGCGACAATCCACATTTTTCTTTGCTCTTCTTCGGCTTAAGATCTGTCCCTTTGTCAGTCCGTTGACGTCGTCGTTCGGTCTTCTTTTCTTCTAAATTCTCGTGTTCGTCAGGGTGAATCGAGCTTCAAGCCACTTCTCAGAACTGCTTTCAATCTTCGCGACAGTTTATTCTTTTTGGCCAGGCAACCAAGCAGCACAGCGCACTTGGAGACCAACTCGGGTCACAGGAAACTCCTGGAACTCGAGACATCAGAGCTGAGACGGCAAATTTGAAATCTCACCGACGGGCGGCTGAGCGCAACTGCGGACTGCCATAAGGAAAAACGAGAAGGTGGTCGAGAAGCCGCTAGTCATCTCATTCGTCGCCGTTGTAACCCCTACTCTCGCCACGGCCGCTAGTCTTGGTTTCGCCTGTGTCCGGCGACCCGAGTCGAGCGAAGTTAAGCAAGCGTACGTTCATTTGGGACATTATTAAGTTTCGGCTGTCAATTGACGGGCGGCGAGAGGAAAAAGAACCGGAAGCCACGGTTGCCTTGCTCGCAGTGGCTTCAGCAAATGAGAGAGGAAGGGGCATGCGGTCGTGCAGATAGGAAACTAGGCATCATCACGGGGCCAGTAAGCCGTATGCGTACCCCGTCAGCCAACCAGCAACTGTGGGGACCACACTGCCTTCGACACGTCGACATACACAAGTTCCCTTTCCATCGTACGCTATACAGAACCTCCAGCCAAACTTACTCAAGCTGCCTTCTACTTACTTTCTGCGAAGAGGTAGCTTCTTCGGAGTACTCGCAAAGTAATAGTGATATCAATCATGTGACCACGGTTGCTATCCCGTTAGAAACAGCATTGACACCATAAGCGACTAGCAAACTATTCCCTGCCATAGCCTCCTTCGCGTATTGGCAGCGTATCAACCCGGGTGGTGCCTATACGTTTAGTCATTAGCCACAACGTAACGACAGGAAGGCCATGGCCTGTACGGGACTGCATTAAGGGACGCGGCGATTGTGTTGATGATGCAATAGCAAATGTTTGTAGGGGATAGACCTTGAGTGGGTGGTTACAGCCCACACAGCAGCGATGTGCGTTAGGGTGCAAGTATGTGCGTGGAAGAAGAAGCAGCTCGACGAGCTCAAAAAACTATGATCTTCCCGTTCTCTTCTCATCGAAGAACGATGAGTAACACTGTAGTCATCACTGAGTCGTAGACGATCTTGACTCGCAGAGAGTAGCCGAAATAGTTGCTTATGCGGCGGCTATAGCTGCAACTCTAATAGAATGTTCGTTTGCTACTCTTGCTCCTTCCATTTACGTACTTGCTTGGCAGCCTATAGAAAAGATGGCAGCGGATGAGCGAAGGGTAAGTGACGTGTTGAGATGAGAAAAAGCACAGCCAGCCTGCCCAGAGCATCGGGTACAGTTTATTTAATTTTATTGTCGGCCTGACGAAGGACCAGGACCTAACCAAGAACGGACGATCCAACTAGACAAGACTAGGTCACTAGTCACTATACATATACAAGTTTGCTACCACTGCCAACTTATGGTATTAAATCTCTAAAGAGCCTTCCCCTTTTCCTAAATCTCTGACTACGTTCACCCCATTGGGAAAGATTACTCTTCTCATTGATTACACTTAGCCTAAATACGCGGCAACGGCGGCAGGCAAAAAGGCCAACAGCGTAGTCAGGGTAGCACTGAAACTCTAAAGAAAGGACTATGAAACAACGGCCGCTTTCAGTTAGCAGCGGTTGGAGTGGCACTGCTCTAACACTTCTCGCTTCGTCAGATCTGCCTATTGTCTCAGACTACCTTTCTTAAGCTGGGGCAGACGCTTTCCTTGACGTATGGAAGGCAGGAAGCGATGTAAAATAGCGAAAAGTAGCCAGGCAGTATCCTGTCGTCATTGAAATGCGCCTCTATATACTTGGCTAGCGGAAAAATGTCTCTCAAGGTTCCATTATCTTTATGAAAGAATGCGGCCAAACGTAAGTTGAACGAATGCTTTTCCCGCTAACACATACAAAGTAATTCAATGAAATAGTTTATCTGAAGTGACAGCCACGCTAAACTGAGGAACTCAGAGCTCTGCAAGCTCCATAGGCTTAGAGTACACCCCCTGATGCAACGTCTGTTAAGAGCCTGATGGCCATATTATTGAACTGACCTACAAGTTGCACCAGTTTATTTTTCCATTGATAGCTTGACGCTGCTTGAAGATTCCTTCCTGCTCCTTATTTTCCTAGACCATGGTTAAGTCCACTAGAAAGGAAAGGAGCAGAGTTGATACGGAAGAAATCAAGCCGCACTAAAGCAACGCTTTAAGCCAGCTACCAAATCAAAATGTGCGGCAAATCTATTTCACTACTTTCTAGCGGTTGTTCCTCCTTTTGGAGTCTACCTGTATATGCTAGTGTTGCTAACGGCCTCAGTGTCGTTCGTCTTCAATTCGTTAGCTGAAAACAAAAATGGCCGAGTGATGATAGGTTGTCTCTGCAGACGGCCAGTCCTCGCCATTCGAACCATAAAGTTTCTTCACTTTTTTTCACTCCTTTCTTCTCGTTGTCCTTCTCCTTGATTTGCCAGAAGGAACACAGCCATTTGCCCCATGTTTTCCTTGCCACTGTTTTTCAGAGAAGGAGTGTTGCGGCGCAGCCGTTCGCCAGTAACTTCGTCCAACGGTTGCTTAACAGAAAATTCGAGCCAACCAGCCTCTTCGCCGTGTGTCTACCTTAAAGTGGACTACGGTTTTTTCTCTCCTTGCCGAACGACCGCTTGAGAGTCTGCCGCTGGTGTCAAAAGTTTCAAAGATGTTCTACCATGGCCATCTTGCTCAAACTCCGTCGAGGGACAGGACGGAAATGGGGATAAGAGAGCTTCGTGATGGGGGCGCAGCAATGGAACAGGGTCGGGCGAAAAAAAGACATAATGTAAGTTTTGCAAACTCTTATAGCGCCGAGGTACGTAAGATAACACGAGGAGACGTGTTGATGCTATCGAGAACTAAAAGTGCTCACTTACTTTGAAAGCGCGCTAGACAAGTAAACGAGGGACGATGCCTTTTAATCATTCACTAGTTTCGCTAGGCGATGCGCGTCAGAATACGAATATCGAAGACTTAAGAAGAAGAACGCTACCGATAGCTAAATAACAGTTAGAAGATAGCAGGCAGAACCAGGTAGAGCAATGGCGATACAGCGTACGCAGTACGAGCTTAAGACAGTCATCGTGGTTGGGCTAGTAACACCGCTGGCTTCACGGTGCCTTGAAAGGCTATAATAGTAGACAGAAGTGTAGACATTGAAATTATCACAAAGTTAAACCATATGATAGACGAATAAATTAAGCCAATATGTCAGTAAATGCAAGTTATAGCGAGCTCTATTGTTGTAGAGGAAACGAGAAATGAACTGTCCTAGATGTCTTCTCTAGTAGGCAATCTGCTTTTGACAAAGAATGGAACACATCAAATGCTTGTTCGTGATTGGTAGTCTTTGATGGTTCATGGTATACTATTTAATTGCAACGACAAGTATCGTTACAAACGTGATACCCACAACGGTATCCACGCGTTTCCGGCGGAACAACGTAGCGTGCAGTATCATCAAGGTCAATGACGGACTTAATCCATGGTTTGCTACGCTCATAGATGTGACTATCAACTACAGACCTCTAACTGTGAAGGCAGACGTTAAACAACCCAGCTTTGAATAGAAATGTCTCGAGCCAACAGTGTTGTATGACATTTTCGTATCCAAAATTAGATAATTGTTTTCTACTTCGCACATCTTGCAGATGCCAGACCCAATAAGCGGCGCCTTTTCTCACTCAGTTCGCTTCGAATCAAGCGCTGAGGCAGGTTCGTCTTGTGTACTGCTTGTGAGTGCGCTATGCCCTTGGACTTGGAACCCCTCGCTGCTCCCGTTTCATACTCATGTAGCACTTGCAACGGCGTGCGGCGATGGCTTCAGACAACGGCCCGCCATTCGACCTGGGCAAACACATGATCTTTCCTCGGACGACTGACATCACCTTTGTAAGTTAAAACTGTCTTCGCGAAAGATATCCCGTCAATGCCACTCACTTCACGCGAACCCCACGCTACTAGCGAAGCACAAGTCCATTTTCACTGCTTATACATATATATACTACATTTCAGCGAAGTGTTGAACCGAACTAGGAAAAACACACTCACGTTTCAGCGATGAAAAGGTATCCTCTTTGTCCACAACAATGCTGTTGCGTGTCCAGTAACTCGTTGACAGTCTTTAGGTATCCATTCGATTTGATGTTAATTAATTACAATTAATTCATCCACAAGATTAACTAGCACGCACACTGGTTCACGGTGCACACACACATAATATTTGTCATATATATATATACATATATATATATATAATTTTCTCTCTCTCTCTCTCTCTCTCTCTCTCTCTCTCTCCCGATACTTGTCAAATGGGCTGATTTCGACAAACACAAGCGCACTCTGGTGGATACACACACTGGCAGCACACGGATAAGCCACTACTACGAACGACAGCGACTGCAATAGCCGAAAGGGTTATCAGCTGTATTGCGATCTTCAGGAGTAATAGACAGTAGTCGACAGACTTTTTTTGATTTGGTTGACTACGGATCGGATCGATTACCACTGGCTGCATTTACTTGTTTTTCCCTCTGCTTCCTCACTTACACACACTATACACTTCCGAACAGATTTGCACAGTTTGTCCGTCCCGGGCCGTCTGTCACGTAATAACAGACAGACACACACCACCATCACCGAAAGCAGCAGCATCAGCACATCAGCGCACTCCTGGATGGTTCGGCGCAGACTGAAGCCAATGGCGCACCACTACGAGGAGAAGACTCTGCCAGCGCCACCTAGGAGACAACATGTCAAGCTAGCGGCGCGTTTTTCACTGCTGCTGGCGCCAGGCGACTGGCACAGCCTGCGACAACCGGCGGCAGCCTACGGGAAGATCTGGGGGTCCGCATCGTCATGCACATCGTTGAAAGCAATGATGGTCTATGGGGCTTATATACAGTCGAGCAAACTAAGGGGAGCAACGAAGTTGGCGGAGCGATGCCAGGCACGGTCGAAGTTGCGTTGGAAAAGGACTGCGAAAGCGACCTGCACTCGCTGGCTGAGTCGACTGAGTGCAATCAGCAGAAGCAGAATGCACCGAAAAAAAATTGACCGGAGTTCAACGAGAAAACTTCAATCAACTGAGTGTGATAACACTTCGCAACGGGACAAAATGCGTCCGGATAATGGCTATAAAAGGCAAAGCTACTACCGTAAGTTAAAAATGCTTTTCGCGTTCCACGTTCGATGTTAAACTTATTGAGCGTTATTTCAGGCGACTGGCTTCCAGCATGTAGTAATGTGTAACTACGGTCAGATCCGAATTTAAACCACCGCCCTGTGTCTCTGAGTTCGGCAAACAACCACGTTGATCGTTGCGCTATCGTGTGGAAAGAATATCATAAGCTAATGATCGTTTCGTATCGTACTTCTGGTAATTATACCGTTAGGCATTACTTCAGACAAGGTATTATTATAAGCTGGTCTAGTTGACTCATATTTGAACACGCACGCAAAAGGAGAGCTTTTCGAAAGGAAGCTTTGATAGATGGATGATTATATTAATCTATGAAGATGGAGAAGTCGGAAGTACATACGGAACAGCACGACTACGAGGCCAGGCATCCACACCTCACAGCTACCCGAACTAGTGTCCAAAGGACTCCAGAGACAGAAGGCTATGAAAAATTCTAGCCGAAAGTCGGAAAAAACAAATCTTTTTTTTTTCTCTGAAGAACCACTCAGAACAAAGCTCGGACGTTAGCGGGTTGGTTAAATTGGATACGAAGGGAGAATTATAGGACGCAGGAATATCTCTGCTTGCTGGAAACTGTCGGCACTGTGACAACGTAACTAACAGATATCTCTGAATACGTTGCCGCGGTCATTACAAATAGAAAGCATGCGAGCAATCACCGATTCGAATCTCAGCTCTGGCAAATCAAAAGATTTTTTAAAAAAAATTATAAGAGAAAATGGGCGAGAGCTTGAGGGGCTGTTTATTTTTTTTTAATATTGAATCTATGAAGCAGTACCGTCGCCAGTTCTGAAAACCGATCCACGTAGGGGGATAGCGGGGGGCTACTTGGAAATCAGAGAGCGAACGTCAGTGAAAATTCGCTCTTTGGATATTAGCCTTGAGAGATTTGTTCTACAAACCATCGCCTAAAGCTGTCAAAAGCTGCTCACGTCTATAAGGATATAAATACTGATCTGTGCTTGCAAGGGCGAAGATTATGTAGCTTTCGTAATGGTTTCGTAGCTGATGGCGTCACGTTTCGCTATTACCGAATGATATTCAATTCAGTAAGGGTTGCAGCCTGATGGAATATGATGGGAAGCATGGCACAACGGGGCTAATTGCGTTTTTTGTAACTATACGGTTGGGTGTGTATAATGTTTGCTCATCAGGTTTATGATTTTAAACAGAAACGAACAACGTATCTGTATATATTCTACATTCGCCTTCTTTCATATGTGGAATTAAGCTTGAAAAGATCTGGGTTATTTTTGTTTAATGGGCTGGGTATGATAAACAAATTCTGTGTGTTCTGGTACATCGCTTCTAGCTAGTTCAAAAAATATCAGTTAGCCAGCCGGTAGAGAATGGTAAGCGAAAGGCATCTTATATATGTACAAGAATTGATCAGACCACTTCTGGTAGCTTAGCTACAGTGGTTAAGAACGCATACATCGTCTTCATTTTATCTTCCTTCTTTCGCGTTTTCGACTTTATGTATCTAATTAAGGCTCTTAGTCTTGTGTCCGGTACTATCGTTGCGCATTATTTGCGAACTGCTCTATTGTGTCTTCGTCGTAGACACATTTCGTTATGTTTGAGGGCCGACCGACACTGATTATATGGAAGCGTCTGGAACAAACCTAAGTCAGGTACACAATCAGGTTAGAAATTAAACCTAATTTTTATGGTATCAGTGTAGCTGCGTTCTTGCTCAAGAACGGAGCCTCTTTCGAACTGCCGTCCGAACAGTCCAGCAGCTCTTCAACTTCAACCAAAAATTTCTTCTTAAAAAGCAGGTATGTACTGATTATACACTATCTGATCTACGTACGAACTGACCGTATCTGTCTAGCGAGGTTGAATATGCACTCTTATAAAAAAAAATTCGTGTCCTTTAGGTGTATTCGGATGCTTTATTACAAACTAAGGTAGATTATATGTAATGTTCGTATGTCTGTTAGATTGTCTACATTATTTTTAGTAAATACATGTTTCGGGGTACTTTGGTCGGCATTGCGGCTATATCTCAATGGAACGGACCAAACATGGATACCCGATGGTTATCAGAAATGTTCAGATGTGCATGCCTCTATTTCAGCTGCTTTTGAGTAAATGGCACCGATAAGTAATTAGGTAAGCTTCGAACGATTAGCGACTGACCTCGTTGTTCTTGGCGGATCCGGTGGCCAGTCTATCGATTGTTTTAGCGCTATCATGCATTGGGTCGTGCGCCCTGGGTTTCTTTGATTAAATTGAGTGGAAGAACTGGAACGGTTGGGATTGTAGACGTCCTGGGCGTAAAGCTAACGGAACCAACGTTGGATTAGCGGCACGTCTAGGAGGCTACATCACGCTCTACACAGTACAGCATCCGTCGTTCTAATGCTTGCGGCGTTTCGAAATACTATTATGCCATAGTGACGACTGTAGAACCCATTCGTTTAAGACGAAAATGCAACGTAAATCGATCATAATACGATCTGTAATATTACCTATCAGAATTTATAGCTGGATCATGGATTGTGCTATGTGCGGACTGTTTCATTAAACCTGTCTTTTTCAAGCCGTCTTTCGCTGCTTACCAAGCCCTGTTTCTTTCGAAGCGAAACCTTAACCTTTACTATAGCAAGAAAAACTGTTGGCGATAACGGTTGATTACCCAAAACTATACAGAACAACAACAGTGTGAAATTATAGGAATATATATGGCGCTGACGTGAACGAAGCTATTCACTTGATTTTACAGAATACACGTTAAAATAATATTGGAAACATCCTCTTAGCTGAAAAATGAGCTATGTGTCGATGCCTTCATAATCATCAATAACTGATGGAAAATAATGGCGAAGTACATCTAATTAAGGAGAAAGCTTCGCAAAGATTATGTTGTTTGATTAAGTGTTCAATTTGAAGCTCGTTAAGGAAGTCCTCTCAAAACGACCGTTGATCCTGTTTCGTCTTAGATTTTTAGTTCCCTTCATTCAATAATCTAATTCTATTTTTGAGTTTACTATCATTAGTTGTGCCTTATTATAACTGACACTGGAACACCGACCGTAAAACTCGAAGACAGTTATGCCTTACTTTTGTTCCAGGCCCCATCATAGCTAAGCCGAAGTGTGTACATTTCGTGCCTTCTGGAGTGTATAATTTTGTGCAATAGGCCATTGATTATAATCTTCGTTGAGCAAAACCCGGTCAAATCTTCAGCAATCTTCAAGCAGAGATCTAAAAAAAGTCTCAGCCGTTTATACGATTGATTGGCAGTCATCGTTGTATTTTACACGACAAATCGGTAGCATGGATAGGGAAGCGAGCAATGGATTCATTATTTTGGAGTTAAAGTGGTGTGGGCAACATTGACCGTAACGAACAACATTTATTTGAAGCACCAACGACAGGAACAGCAGGGAATATTGCCGACACAACCTCGCCATTACCCACTGGCTTTGGTTGCCATGGTATCATGCGGGGCCCCGTGTCCTGAGCCATGCTGAGGCTTGAGCCGTTTGTACGACAACCGAATCGATGGTGCAGGCCGTTACCCTAAAGTACAAGCGAACTTGTCTAAGGTTGGCTGTCTTGGCATGTCAGTCAACCGTCCGCCTGCCTCGCTCGGTCAACAACACGCTAGTAACGAAGAGCTAAAAAGTACAACCCACTTCTAAAAGAAGTCCACTCGACGACAGTTGCGGGGGTGAGCAGGAAAAAGGAGTACTCGCTACGCATGTTTGCGCGACTGGACAAGCCGACGACCTCGATGGAAATCTATTACCTCAACCATAGCAACATTCTATCGATAATAATACATCGGCTGTGGACAAAGTCTGACAGCAACTGAAGGCCCGCTGCTCTAATTCTGTCGCTATGGCCCCTGCCGGCCTGGAATCTCGCACTGGTCCGTAAATTATCAGACAGCCTTTTCTAAAAGTTGGCTTACTTGGCGTGCGTCGCTCAGCGTATTGCTGGGGTTATATGGTGTCGTCGTTCAATCGTACCAATATTCCATACACAGTATGATAGGGTTCTTGTAGGTGAGTCTCTAACTGAAACCTTGCGTGCTCCGCATATTGTTTATTATTCGTGAAATGAAAATCACTTTAGCATACCGAGACAAAAACAAAACATGGCCACTTTCGTCAGTGAGATTGCAATCCAATCTCGAACCTGACTTCGTGGTTTCAGAAAATGCCTCTTTCGCTTGAGATTTGTAAGAAGCGTAATCGGCAATGGCGTTCGTTTAATGTTTAAGTACATCAACAATTGCGCATATCCCGATAGATATATGTATACAATGTAACTATGGAACTTTCGATATACAGTAGGGAAGTTGGCTCACTAAATATGGGATAATTTGCTTAATAAACCTAAAATGGCTGGGCTCGAAGCCGTGAAATAAACAAACCCAGCAGGAAAAACCATACTAACTATTATAGTCAATAAAAATAGGCAAAAGTGGTTTCTTATTTTCAAGC